TGCGGGTTCCCCAGAACAGCCTCAAAGTGTCATTCATGCTGTTTTTTCCCCAAACGATAAGCTTTTATTTATTTTTATTCACAATTCAGATGTGTTAGTTGAATGGATATCTCCTCAAAAATCGATCCCACCTTTGGTCATACTTTGATATTTTTCTCTAGGAAACAAGCAGGATCCAGGCATAACCGTGTCACCATCCATCAACCCTCTGTCCTTGTTGAGAAAGCAGGTGAGAACAAGGTAAGCTCTTTGGCTTTCAATTTCTGAAGTGGATTCCTAATCGCTGCATTAGGGTTTGGGTGACAGAATACCCAACGACGGCGATAAAGTGGTTTCTTCTTCTCGCCCCCCAGGAAGCCCAGACAAAGGTGGGCTGCACAGCCGTTCGCCACGGCCAGGAAGCATCTAGATCCTCATCTGTCTTGTCCACCGTCTTCGGCCACGACAGTCACTCTCACGGCTGCAAGGGGGCTGCCCTGGCTCCGGTCACCCCGCAGCCCAAGCAGGAAGGAAGGGAGAGGGCAAGGCCGCCTTGCTGGCTCCGCTCAGCCTCCCCGCCCGAGTTCCCCACTTACAGACCCAGAACCCGGTCACACGGCCACGGTCACAGCAGGGGAGGCGCGGGAGGGGGGGCCAGCATCCCAGCCAGAGGACACGCGGAGGCTACTCTGTGATGCTGCCCTTGGCTACGGGTCCCCGCATCTCCCTCGAAGCCCGTCCTCTGACAGTCCTGCCCGAGCCGGGGAAACGGCCTTGTGTCCTGGCGCTCATCAGCTCGCTCGCTCAGCCTTCAACTCACCCATCGCATAACGTTTCCTGGGTGTTTTCTCTCCGCCAGGCATGGGGCAAGGAGGGGAAACAGTGGTGCCCACAATAAACCCCCTCGTTGCCTTCACAGGGCACCCACCCCTAAAGTAAAAGAAATGCAATGGGGCGCCTGGGTGGTTCAGTCGGTTAAGCATCTGATTTTGGCTCAGGTCTTGATCTCACAGTTCGTGGGTTCGAGCCCCGCGTCTGGCTCTGTGCTGACAGCTCAGAGCCTGGAGCCTGTTTCAGATTCTATGTCTCCCTCTCTCTCTGCCCCTCCCCTGCTCACACTGTCTCTCTCTCTCTCTTTCTCTCTCTCTCAGAAATGAATAAAAAATAAAAAAAACCCATAATTATTTCCATGTCACTTATACTTGCTGCATTTGTGAATTTGGAACAATGCATTTCTGAATTGGAAAATAAAGACAAAACTGGTCCCTCTTGGGGCATCTGGGTGGCTCAAGGTGGATGGGCCTCTCTGACTTTGGCTCCAATCATAATGGTGATTCATGGGTTCGAGCCCCGCGTCGGGCTCTGTGCTGACAACTCAGAGCCTGGAGCCTGTTTCGGATTCTGTATCTCTCTCTCTCTGACCCTCCCCTGCTCATGCTATCTCTCTCTCAGAAATAAATAAAACATTAAAAAATTTTTTAAATCAATAAATAAACATTAAAAAACAAATTTATAAAAAAAAAAAGAAATTGCAAAACAGGGCAATGTAGTTTAGAAATCTCTCTTACCGTCCATTTAAACAACCAGATTCCTTTTTAAAGCACAAATATCCTTCTCTATGGTCAATTAAATGTGGTCATTCTTCTCTATACTGTTGATAGTTTTACTTTTACAAACTGAATTAGACCTCGAGGAGCCCGGCATCAGGCAGGTTAATATGGAAGGAAAGTTTGGCGTGTAAGCGGCCGATTAAATAATAGAGACCAGTGCACTGGGCTACTTGGGATGTTGTCACGTGACTTGGGGTGTTGTTTATGCCAGCTCAGCACGAAGCAGTTGGTTGCACCTGCAGGCCACACTTGGAGCCTCATTTTTAAAAATATTTTATATTTTTATTATTTTTTAATGTTTATTTTTTGAGAGAGACAGAGAGTATGAGTGGAGGAGGGGCAGGGAGAGAGGGAGACACAGAATCCAAAGCAGGTTCCAGGCTCCAAGCTGTCAGCACAGAGCCCAGTGTGGGGCTTGAACTCACGAACTGTGAGATAATGACCTGAGCCAAAGTCAGACACTTAACTGCCCGAGCCACCCAGGCGTCCCGTATTGGAGCTTCTGGAAGGCAGGGGGCTGTGTCTTGGCCACCTTTGCATTCCCCAGATCAGCCCAATGACTGACTCATGGTAAGTACCTCGTAAATATGTTTGCTGACCCAAGTTCAAAGTTAGACCTTCCTCCATGAGATGGTGAGGAGTCACAGGGAAATTCTTTAAGGTCAAAACGAACAGCTGGCAATCTCTGGCCTTTGCATTTTATAGGGCACATTCATGCTTCTGGGTTGCCTGTTAGCGTTCTCCAATCAATATGCCAAGGCACACGGACCGCTGTGGGTGCGCTGTTACTGGACAAATTTCACCATGATCATAGGTCGTGCGGGGCGGAAAAGGTTTGGTCGCTCTGCCCCATGGCACATGCAACTTTGGGGCCTCCATCTAACACTCACACAAACCTGAGACAGCTCAGCTTCCTGGGGGGACTGGCTGCCCCTTCAGCCCACCTCCCCATCTCTTCTAAAAGCCAAGTTTTTATTTATTTACTGCTTTATGGACTTGTATTATACTGCAGGACCCGCCACAGGTCCTTTGTGGGGCAAGGCGGCGTACGAATAAATTTTCCTGACAACGTGAATTGGCTACAGGCCATGAGACACAGAGCCTGTCGTCTCCATCAGCCTCGCAGAGGACGGACACTCCGACTCCCGTCCCAGCGCCCTTCTGTGAACTGCCCAAACGGAGGGGACCCAAGGTATTTGAGAAAGACCACAGGGCGTGCCAGCCGTTTCCACCTCCGTCCTCAAAGTTCTCTCCCTATTCTGAGTTAGACGCGGCGACTGCCTGAGCTCCCTGCAAGCCCCGCCGTGGAGAGAGGGCTCTCTTATTCATGGGGAGTAGGTCTGGTTTTTTCCTTTCTTTAAAGACACGTGAAAAACTTGTGAATTTTCTCCTGAGGCTCTAATTAGATTATATGTAAGGCACTCCGGAGAAGGAGCTGTCACTCATCTTTGCATAACTGCTGCACACAAAAAATCTTGGGTGCTGTGAGCATGAAAACATCACATAAATATTCACCAGAACTGAATACAAGGTACAAAGTGTGTATCCAAGCAAAGTATCCAGAAGTGTACCGCGTCATAAACCTTTTAAAGACGGGAATCCAATCCGGTGAAGTTAAAAACCTGGTTTTAGGTAAAACTTCACCTGGTGTGAATAATTTAAAAAGAGTCCATGAAAATATTTTGATTGTAGGCTTTGCCAAGCAGGTTTTCTCTAAGTTTCTGGATGGTTCCAAAACATCTAAAATTATTTTAGTGAAGAAATAGTCTTTGGGGAGGCTGACTGGCTCCACTGGTTAAACGACTGACTCCTGATTTCAGCTTAGGTTATGATCTCACAGTTGGTGAGTTCAAGCCCCAAATGGGGATCTGCGCTGATGGCTCGGAGTCCGCTTGAGATTCTCTCCCCCCGCCCTTCACTCACTCTCTCTCTCTCAAAATAAATCAGCATTAAAAAGAAGATATTTATTTAAAGAAAGAAAAAGGAACGGTCTTATAAACAGGTCCTGAAGGTCTTTGCAATTTGAATTGGCCAACTCATGCAGATGAAGGTGCTCAAAAATACTCCTGTAAAAGCCACGACTAAAGACATCCGTCAGTTAAACAACAGGCCTGGGGGCCTTGGTGCCAGCTCCCAGCCCCTCGCCGCCCTGCGCCCTGCGGGCAGGCCAGGGAGGGGACCTCCTGTTCGTTCCTGAAAGGGAGCTCGGCTGCCTGACCAGGAGGGACAAGGAAGACGAGAAGGCTCTGTGAATTTGGCATCAGGGCATGCCTGGTTTCGGGCACCGAGAGTTCTATTTGGGGGAAAAAAAATCACTTAAAGGCGAAGAACTCCAAGATGGCCCTGGATTTAAGTCATTACAAGCAATCTTGCATGGGTAGGGCCACTTGGCCACCTGGGGCCCTTGGACTTCTCCAGACAAGGCGCGAGGAGCCAGCCGCGTGGCGCACACCTGAGAATCCCCGCGCGGGACCAGAAATGAGCACCGGCAGGGTCCACGCTGGGCGCCGAGCCGCCCCGACTCCTAACGGCCGGTCATGCCCCCGGGAAGGGGGCATCGCGGCGGCTGCGTGTGCAGAGGCAGCGCCGACCCCGCCTGTGTCCCTCAACAGCGGGGCCCCTCGCGGTGCTGCGATCTGAGAGAAGCCGCGGGTTCAGCACAGACACCAAGGGCCGCGAGGTGAGGGACAGGCCGTTCTCGTCCACGCGTTACCATCCTTTTCAGCAGATTCCCAAGAACCTGCAGCCGCGGCCCAACCTGGATTTGGAGTAGGGGGAGGGGGAGGGGAGGGTGCCCGCGCCCCCTGCACGGTCGCTTCGGGGGATCCGCCCAGGGGTCCGGGTGGAGACCCCGGAGCAGGGGCGTCCCGGGGACGGGCGAGCGCTCTCCGCAGGCCCGGCAGGTGCCCGCGCCCCCTCGGGCCTCCCCACGTGGGATCGGCCGGAACAGGGGCGTCTCCGGGAAGGGCGCGCGCGTCCCCGGGCCCGGCAGGTGCCCGCGCCCCCTCCGGGCTCCCCACGTGAGCTCCCCCCAGCTGCCCGCGCGCAGACCCCGCAGCCGGGCGTCTCGGGCGAGGGCGCGCGCGTCCCCGGGCCCGGCAGGTGCCCGCGCCCGCGCTGGGAGGGGTCGCGGGGAGCCCCGCCCAGGTGCCCGGCCCCGCGCCCAGCCCCGCCGCGGGGGGTGGGGGCGCCGGCGCGCGGTAACCCGGAAGTGGCGGCGGCGGCGGGGGCGGCGCGCTGGAGCCATGGCCGCCGCCGCCGCCGGCTTTGTGTGCAGCGCGCGGGCCGCGGCCGCCCGCCCCTCGCCCCGGCCGCGGGGCCGCCGCTGACCCGCCCCGGCTGCGAGCGCCGCGCCCGCCGGGCGGCCCCGCCCCCCGCCCGCCCCCGCCGCCGCCCTCCGCGCCCGCCGGGCCGCCCTCGCCCGCCCTCCGCGCCCGCCCGGCCGCCGCCGCCGGGCTCCCGGCCGCCCCGATGCCCGAGCCCGGCCCCAGGATGAACGGCTTCTCGCTGGGCGAGCTGTGCTGGCTGTTCTGCTGCCCGCCCTGCCCGAGCCGCATCGCCGCCAAGCTGGCCTTCCTGCCGCCCGAGCCCACCTACACGGTGCTGGCGCCCGAGCAGCGCGGCCCCGGCGCGCCCGCCCCGGCCGCCGCCGCCCCGGCCGCCGCCGCCGCCGCCGCCGCGCAGGCCGCCGGGGCGCAGCCCGCGCCGCCGCCGCCCGAGGACGGCCCGGGCGCGGGGCCGGGCGCCTGCAGCCTGCACCTGAGCGAGCGCGCCGACTGGCAGTACTCGCAGCGCGAGCTGGACGCCGTCGAGGTCTTCTTCTCGCGCACGGCCCGCGACAACCGGCTGGGCTGCATGTTCGTGCGCTGCGCGCCCTCCAGCCGCTACACGCTGCTCTTCTCGCACGGCAACGCCGTGGACCTGGGCCAGATGTGCAGCTTCTACATCGGCCTGGGCTCGCGCATCAACTGCAACATCTTCTCCTACGACTACTCGGGCTACGGCGTCAGCTCGGGCAAGCCCTCCGAGAAGAACCTCTACGCCGACATCGACGCCGCGTGGCAGGCGCTGCGCACCCGGTGAGCCCGCGGCCGGGGGGGGGGGGCGGGGGCGGCGGGGGGTCCCCTGCGGGGGGGCGGCGGGGGGCGGAGCCCACCCCCCTCCCCGGGGTCCGCGCCCGCGCCGGCCTTCAGCTCCCCAAACCCCGCTCGGGCGTCCGGTGAGCGCGGACGCGGGGCGCGGGGTTCGCCTGCTCAGGGGCGCCTGGGTGCCTCCGCCGGGCCCTCGCGGCCCCGGTCACCGCCCGCGGCGGCCCTGGGGTGCCGCAGGGCCGGGCAGCAACAACTGGGGTCGCGCCGAGTTTGTGCGAGCCGGCTGCCGGGGACCGAAGGTCCTCACGCTGAAGTGACCTTGGACACGGCGCAGGGGTCTCCGGACCCGGTCTGGGGAAGCGAGGCCTTCCGAAGACTCTTCCCGCCGTCACGTGCTCCGAGGGCCACGTGTGGGCAGCCCCGACGTGGCCGGAGGGCGTGGAGCTGGCCCCGGTGGGGGGCGGCCGGCGCCTGTGGCAGGAGCTTAGCTGGTGGCCTGGGGCCTCCCGCCTCCGCAGGAACAAGCCCACGATGGGTTTGAACCTCATGTGCTGGGTTTGGGAGCCGCTTGACCTTGACTTAGCATAAGGACTGGAGAGCACGTAGGACACAGGGCCTTTGATGAGCAAGGTCCGAACTGGGGACCCGGTTCCCTGCTTAGGCAGCACTCAGGAAACTTCTGCGCGGCCACGTGTCTGGAAGGCGGCGGTCACACGCCGGGTGTGCTCCAGTTTTGGTGTCTGTGACTTTGCCCAGCCGCCCCAGAGCCATGATGATGAAAATACCGGGGACCCTGTCTGTAGTGACACCTGGCTTCTCCCCCTGGAGAGTCCCCAGGGCTCGGGCAGCCGGTGCCCTTACGCAATGGGGACTCACGTATCTTTATCTAAAATGTGTTTGCTTGGCTTATGCAGATCGCCTCCTCTCCTGTTCCCTGCCTCTGCTTATAAATTACCCTTCGCCCTTCTGCGAAAGTAGCTTGTCCAACAGAGAAATATTTCAGATTTAACGTCCATTGCTTCTTTGTGTTCCCCTAGAGGTTTCCAACCAAGGACTTCATTTGGCTGATTGTTTTTCGAAAATGATTTGGGTGGGTGAGAATGTATCACATGTAGATACACTGAGTCAGGATTCGGGAGTGGTTAAAAGCCACCTAGCTGTTCCAGTAAAGGGTTTCAAATCTCTGCGTCCACACAGTCAGTACATTGCTACAGTGTGCTGTAGGTAAAGGTATCAAGCAGCGGTTGGCATTAAATCTTTAAAAAAAAATGAAACATTAAAATCCTACCTCGAGTATCAAGATGTTAGGAACCATTGTTCGAACGTGTGCAGAACCACATTAGAACTGAAGCCTGCCAGGTTCAGGACCGGGCCTTTGCCCTGAGTATAGAGTGTGGCTCGGTTACAACACTGAGCAGTTATTTCCTGGAGACTTTGGTCACATTTAGTTTAATTAAAGGCACTGTTTTTAGACAAACATTTCGAGGCAGTTTTGGATTATCTGATGATGTGTCTAAATTATGCCCATGATTTATTTATTTTATATCACAACTCATGTCTAGATTGATTCACACAGCTACAAAATGGGTTAGAATTTATTTTTTTAATGTTTATTTATAGAGAAAGAGAGAGAGCCGAGGAGGGACAGAAAGAGAGGGAGAGAGGATCCCAAGCAGGCTCCGCACTGTCAGCACAGAGCACGATGTGTGGCTTGATCTCACAGCCCTGAGATCATGACCTGAACCGAAAACAAGAGATGGACGCTTACTGGACTGAGCCACCCAGGCACCCCTAAAAGGGGTTAGAATTTAAAGGCTCCGATAAGCATCTTAGAGGTTGAAGAAACTTACAGATCATCTTGCCCTGTGCTTTCCGTGCCCTTTCCACAGTGGCCCCACAGTAACAAATACTAGACCTTAGATCGATCGCGCACATGCAGGTTCGTCGGGATCTGCCTGTATACGTTTGTGTCTAAAGCAGGTGCTTCACAGACACCCATTTCTGTGGGTAATGTACTTGGTGTAATAGATTCCATTTTATTTCATGTTAAAAAAAAAAAAACACACAAGGAAAAGCATGCGGGTTTCCAGCTCCTGAATTAATCTCCTAACTTGTGGACGTTGGTCTTGTGCGCCTGCCTTGTCTGACAGAGGCCGGGGACGATCATCGGACAGGGGCCCGCGGTGGTCTCTCGGCTGCTGGTTTAGCGCTCTTCCCACGTCGTGGCGTCGTCCTATTTATCAGGTTTCTCAAGGGGCCGTGTCTGTGTCTCACTCTGACAACGTAGGAATCGCCCGACTTTGAAGCTGTTGTCCCTTAACCGCCTGTCGCCAGCGGCCCCCGTCCTCTGTGGTTCTTCTGCCCCGACCTCGCCGCCAGCGTGCCCTGTTCTGTGCCCACTTGCGGCTCTGTTCGGGTCATGGCCGCGGCAGGAGCGCCTTCCCCCACAGGGACCCGCTCCGTGGCTGGGTCACCCCAGCCGTTGCCACCTTCTGCCCCCGTGTCTTTGGGGATCTCTTTTCTGACCTCCTGGCCCACCACTCTGCTCAAGATCCTGAAGGGGCGAGCGTGCCGTGTCCTGCGTGATCTCTGTCCAGGCCCCGGGTGGGTGCCCGCGGCTGGACCGTAGGGCTCCGAGTCAGGTGTGTGCGTCCCTGCTCGCTTCCCTGAGCACCTGGCCCAGTGCTGGCCTCCTTCCTCCGCCCTCAGGCTCACCTCCGGCCGCTCCCGTGTGCCCTTTTCCTGTGCCGGGAGCACTCCGTCCGGCCGCGCCCTGATGGGATTCCGGGAGTCTTTGTGTTGCTGGCGCTCAGCCCTGCGCTTACCACACTTTCCCCCACGTCCTGTTACTTGACTGTGTTCCCACTAAACTGAAAGTCTCTTGAGGGCAGGGCCTCCGTGTCTTCCTTACGCCCCACAGTGCATTGAAATAATAGTACACGTTAAATATTTGTTTAATGGGGCGCCTGTTGACTCAGTCAGTTAAGCATCCGACTGCAGCTCAGGTCATGATGTCACTGTTCATGAGTTCGAGCCCCACGTCGGGCTCTGCTGACAGCTCAGAGCCTGGAGCTGCTTCAGATTCTGTGTCTCCCTCTCTGCCCCTCTCCCGCTCGTGCTCTGTCTCTCTCAAAAATAAACAAAAAATTATTTGTATTTGTTTAATGAATTGCACATACGGGTGCCCCTTAAATAAATAAGTGATATAAATGCAGTTTTTTGCAGGTTGGACCCTTAGGAAGGAGAGTTGGGTCCTGTTTCCCCTCCACAGTTTTCACGTGCAAGGCTATAGCCGTGGGGGGTGTACGACGTACACACACTCCGTACCTGTGACGCGATGTCCTTGGGACGGCCAGTGTCTGTGTGGAGCGGTCCCTGGGTCCATCCCCTGTGCCCACTGTCACGGGCCGCCTGGTGCTGGGCAGGGGACTCCCCTGGAGACGTCACCGAGTGTGCCTGCGGTGGGCACGTGCCTGGGCGAGGTTAGCGATCCGTGTGAGGGGTGTGCGGCTGGCAAGTGGTCCGGGGCAAAGGCTTCTGGAGGGAGGAAACTTGAAGGCGAGCAGGGTGCTCATTGCTGTTGGGCCAGCAGGTGATTTTTTTAAGCATTTGACACCTGGCTAGCAAAGGTGTGGAGAAGTAGGTTTGAAGGGTCTGGGAAGGGTGTGGACACAGCAGGAAGTCGCGTGGTGCCCTGGCCCCGGCGTGGTGCCCTGGCCCCGGCGGGCTGCTGCGAGGAGACACCACAGCCTGGGTGGCCTGAGGTCCTCCTGGTGTGTTCCTCTGGTTTTAGAGGCTGGAAGCCTGAGACCAGGGCGCCAGCGGGGTCGGGGTCCGGTGAGGCCCCTCTTCCTGGTGTAGACTGCTGGCCTATTGTGTGTTCACACCGCACAAGGGACAGGGGTGCCTTCTCGGGCACTAAGCTCACCAGAGGGCTCTACCATCATGACCACCTTCCGGAGGCCCCGCCTCCTGATACCGTCACTTTGGGGGTAGATTTCAACACAGGAACTCTGGGGAGGGGACTCCTGAATGTCTAGCCCCCCGGCAGCTGGTGTGGGAACAGGGAGGAGGCTTCTCTGCAAGTGAGAACCTGAGCGTGACAGACAGCCTGAAGGTCAGGACGTGGGTGACGTTTGTGCTGTGAACTAGAAAGGACACTGGAAGCCGGGGTGGCCTTCTTGGGAGGCCGTGTGTAGCGGAGCTGGTGAAGGGACTCCTCTGTACAGGAAGAGGCACCGGCGGCTCAGGCGGGAGGAGGCGGGCTGAGCCCCCTGCACACATCCGGGGTGAGGGGGGTCCTCGCGACGCCAGCGCTGTAGACTGCAGAAGTGGGACCGGGATTCAAGAAGGGGTGAGGCAAGCTGGTCTGCAAGTATGAACCCAAACCAGCAAATGACCCAGACACTGAGGTGTGGGGCAGCGGGGGGCGCTTTGGCCGAAGCATCTTCATCTGGACAAACAGCACCGGGGCAGCTATGCGTGAGCTCCCCATCCGCGTTTGCCACTGTCCGCAGAAGTTGTCGGAATGTCCCTTCCGCCGATGCAGAGGCCGTGCGGAGTGAGGCAGTGGGTGACAGACACTGACCGTCAGAGGAAGCAAATGCAGACAGAGAGAGATGAAAGACGCTCGGTGCCTACGTGCAGAAGGCAAATGATGAAGGATAACGTTTCACCCACTCATTCAATTCCTTTGCCAGCAAACCATTAACCATGAATCACACGTGTTGATATGCACTTGAGCCTGACCCAGGTGGGTAGGGTACTGCCCCTTGAGTATCCCTAACCCTAAATGCTTGCTTTCTTCTTTTTCCTTTTTGTGAAAGGCGGGATAGATTTTAGAGGCATTAAAACAATTTTTTAATGATTTAATTTATTTTTAAGAGAGAGAGAGAGCGCGCGACAGAGCACAGGTGGGGGAGGGGCAGAGAGAGAGGGAGACTCAGAATCCGAAGCAGCTCCAGGCGCTGAGCCGTCGGCACAGAGCC